CAGATTTGGCGGACATTGGGGCGATATTATTTAGCACACATAATTGCCATGACTTAAAATAACATGATCCAAATAGAGAAATAAATAAATTTTCACCAATAACACAGATTTATTTACTGCAGACTTTGATCCGTCTTAATGAAACACACTTTAGTATGTTTGTAGATTTCGTAAACTTTGTTGAGTAATTTGGACAGAAGAGCAACACAAAAAACTAGGGTATACCCTTTGTATATCTCGCAGTTGATGTTTATATTATTTATTTTAATATCACCATTTGTGTAGCTGAATATGTGAGATGTCTTCCATGCATTCATACTAGTATTAATAAATTCAATGATTTGGGCGTGACCCGGTAGCTTGGTCACTAATCGGGTGATTGGAGGTTTAGAGGAGCGCGGAACCACCTCTTAATTGCTGTTGTTCGCAGGTTTTCCCTGAGCCGGGGTGGTAGCACCAGTTAAGGTCCCAGTTTGGTGTAAATAGGGAACACCCCAGACAAAAGCAAAACACCATGAAAGTATAAAAATATTTTTTATAGTAAAAATACCAGAAAGACTTTTTTTTAATCTATAAAAAGGGACAAACAATAAATATTTATAGTAAAATGACCAACAATACATTTTATCTGTAGTGGAAGACATGCAATTGTGTTCAAAATATTTAGCTTTCGGTATTAAATAACCCAGAGAGGTTGACATGCCGCTAAACAAAATCAAACAAAGAAATTTAGTCTGAAATTTTATAGATCGGTAGAGCTTTGATAATCCGTTCCATGGGAGTGTGATGATCATTATCACACATATACATACATACTTTTTTTTAAGCATTACGCACCGAGCAAGGCGTGAAGCCGCTAAGATGCAGGGGGTTGCTGAAGATTTGGAGCGAGAGCAGATAGGAGTGATAGAAGAAAGGATGAGGAGAAGGATAGTGGATAGATCAAAGTAACTGGAGATGTCGATTGACATTACATTTGAATAGTTGGAGATTATAGCTCTCAGAGAAACAGTAATTGGGAAGGGTGTTCCACAGGAGAGAGGTGCGAGGTATGAAGCTATTGGAGTAGAAGAGACGGCTACATTTAAAAGTTTCTATAGTGTAAGGGTGAGAGTGGGATGCCAGCCTCGTAGGGCGCTTGAATTCATGGATTCTGGGGACCAGTGAAAGCAGCTAATCGGAGCAATTACCATTAAAGTATTTGTAAAAAAGACAAAGAGAGCCGACGGCGCGTCTGTGAGAGACTTAATCAAATTTAAATTATACAACAACAAGCATTCATTGGATAATAAATCAACGCTACTGTGTAATGGACAATTTATGAATCGCAGCTATGCAACAATTTTATAATCGCTATATTTTCATGTAGTCGATCTCGTGCACTTTTGGGAGAATCGGATCCCAGAAGCTTTCGTGAGTCTCCCCAAAGCTCGCTCGCTGATTGGCCAATGCCAACCAATCAGATTGTCTGCTCGTGAAGAATGATTCTTCCCGCGTAGCATTTCGGAGCCGATGATCACCTAAGAAATATTCTTAGATAATTAGTGAGATTTCAGCTGCCAAACGAATCCACGACAGTTGAAACCCTGCGCCAATCTTCTCACTCACACCACCACTCACATCCTTTTTTGCATCTTAAATGTTAATTTCTTCCATAGATAAGTAGTTTTTGTTGGTGGTTATGAATGTCAAGATTTTTAGGCATGTTATAGGCCTGTAATTTGGAGGACTCTCTGTCTCTGTAGCTTTGGCAAGTAGGTAAGTTAAGCCTTTACTTAACCACAAGGCTGATGTCTCTGTATTATTCATGATCACGGAGCAGATATCGGTCAGTGAATTATGGATCCTTGGTAAAGAGGGTAGCTAAAATTGGTAACTTTGTCTATTCCAGAGGATTTCCACTTCTGGAAATTTGCTAGAGTCGATTTAACGCCTCTGCAGTAATGTCTGATTAATTTTGATTTTCAACATTTATGGCCATAGATTCTACGTCACCTATCCAGTGTGCATTTTCAGGATTGACTGATCCTCTGGCTTTGTTAAAATTGTTGATCATGATAGATGATGATGAATTCTCCCCCAGAAACTGTAACTATGGTCCATTCAGCTTGGTTGTAGTATGAACCACAGGTGAGCTCTGTGGGAGTTGAAAAAGCACAAATGTGTCTGAGCGAGCGTCTGCTACAGGGATTAGCTAGCCTACTTAGTACACGGGCGTGCTCGCAAAATTAGTTTGGTTTGGTCATTTAATGTCGAAATTTCATGTTCTTGGGACTTTTGGTAATTATTTTTTCTATTAAAATTTATGACTAGAATTTTTTTACTATTAAAATCTATTGATGGAATTGTTTTTTTTCTATTAAAAACTATGAATACAATGTTTTTTTTTCTATAAAAATCTATGATTAGAATTTTTTACTATTAAAATCTATTGCTTGGATTTTTACTATTAAAAATCTATTTCTGTACTTTCGTAGTGTTTTGATTTAATTTTGGGGGTTTACTATTTTCCCATAGCTGGGACCCTAACAGGTGCCACCACCTCGAGTTAGGGCGGACCTGGAAATAACAGCAATTAAGAGGTGGTTCCACGCTTCTCAAAACCTCCTGATCAGAGGTATTGCTGCCGGATGTAGTTTATCGTCATACCCAGAACATAGGAGATTAGTATTCGGCTATTATTATTATTTAGCAAACACTTATTATCAGAAAGTATTCGGCGTCTATTGGGGAAATATCCAGTGCGCATCCGCGTTAAAGCGTCCAAATTCACCCCAGACGATTTTTTTCCAAATGTTTTCTATTGAATCATAAATTGGGCCGGTGGTTGCCAACCTTAATGTTACTCTTACCAAATTATCTGTAACATTTCTTGGTATCTTCTTTAAAAAGTTTGTTATGTCGATAGAAAGCAGTTTGGTTCTTATACCTTGTCAGACGTTTGGCCTTTAGCTGAGGATTCCAATTTGATTGCCAATTATTTACACTATTTACATTGTTCGGACTGTTGTCCTCATCTTTGTTGCTATATTCACGACTTTTGCTGGCCTTGTACGTTCCTGCCGTCTTCAGGTGATTGGAATTTTTGAACTGAACCCTTTATTTCGTCCACCTGGGTAGATCGTTGTAGTTGCAAGTGCCATGCCTCTTCCGGATGTCTTAGTTACCCCCTTAAATGTCGTGAATATGGTAACAAAGACGAGGGCAGGCGGCTCCCTGCATTCCTGTCAACTACAATCTTCAAAAATTGGAATGTCAAACCTCATCATCTGTCACATTGAATCTATTCTTATATTGAGCCCTATTTCTCTAACTCTAAAGTAAGAGGCACAGTTTATGCGGATAGGAGGGAAAGATAACGGTTAACCGTAGACTTGAACAGGTCAAGATTGTAATAATCGGGGAAGCATCCTCTTGGGAGTCTGTTCCCCAATGGTTCACGGGAAGAAGCTATTTGAGTAGAACAGTGCTCATCAGTGGAATACGGGGGGAATGAGGATGGTTCGCTACAATGGGCGTGGCATGGTGGGTCTTGATCGTGAAGGTTAGAACTGGTGGAACCAGGGAATACAGTTTGTCCGAGTACTTTCCATGGAAGTAACGATAGGGCAGTGCGAGATTGGCCACACCCCGCCCGTGAGAGAAAGGTTGGAGGTTTGAAAATAATTCTTCCCCAACAAGGACTCGGAGGCGCGTTTGAAATCAAGAAAGAAAGTGAGGTTTGGGAAGCTCCTGCCCAAATATGGCAGCAGTACTCCATTTTGAGCCTAATCTGACTCTTATAAAGGTAGACGATAGCATGAGGAGTCAGGTACTTACTAGAGCGGTACAGGGAGCCGATCATTTTACCTGTATTTTTAGCGATCGATCCTATATAACAGTTCCACTTGAGGTCAGAGTTTAAGGACCAATAATCATTGGTAACAAAGAAAAGAATACTTTGAGGCAGCGAATGTTGGACGGTCACCTCAAAGATGAAGAAGAGACTCAGGGCAACAGAGGTATGGTTCCACAGAAGGATGCTAAGGAGATCATGAATCGAACATGTGAGAAAGGATAAAGTTTTGGAGAGGATGCAAACGAGGAGTAAGATTATATTTAACATCAAGAAGAGGAGGCTGAAATTTCTGGGACATATAATGAGAAATGAAGACCTTGAGAATATGATACTCACAAGGCGAACCGAGGGAAAGTGAGACAAGGGAAAGTAACGCGAGACATAGCTGGCAGAGTTAAGCAAGTGGATAACAGAACAGGGCCTGGGGGAAGTAGCAAAGGGATAAAACGTATTGAGAGCTACAGGGGATAGGGGGAAGTGGAGAGCCATGATCGCCTACGGCTAGAAGGGACACGGTATATAAAAGAAGAAGAAGAAGAAGGAGAATGGCATCAGAAACGCCAAACTAGAAGAGAAAAAGTGATTATGTCCAGGCTCCATATTGGATATACTGCTATAAAGAAAGGACGGCCTGGAGAATCTGATACTCACAGGTCGAATAGAAGGTAAGAAAGACAAGGAAAAACAACGCATGACATACCTGGCTAGTGGATAACAGAACAGGGCCTGGGGGAAGTAGCAAAGGGAGAAAACTTATTAATGAGAGCTACAAGGGAAAGGAGGAAGTGGAGAGTCCTGAAGGGTCACGGCATATAAAAGAAGTCTCTCAATACACGGAGACTCCCGGAGGAGACGTGTATTCATCGTGACTGGTGGTAGTTTAAGGTCTGATCGGCGATGATCGAATGTCACAAGTTTGTTTTTTGAGACATGGGATGTAACCATCCAGGTTTTCCTCGACTGAGATGTTAGGGTTTAGATCGGAGAAGAGATCAAGTGCCAATTTCAACTCATCACTGGTTTTGGGGGTGCACCGTCGTATCATCGGCATAGATATATTCTGAATATATTCATAGACATATCATTTATGTAAAGTAAAAGAATGTTGGTCAGAGAAGTGACCTTTCGGGGACGCCTGCGTAGATCTTAGATACTCAACAACATGAATTACTTAATTAGTTCAAGTAACAGAACACTTGGCACACTTCAAAGTCTATCTATCTATCTATCTATCTATCTATCTATCTATCTCAGTCTGTTCATATCTCTATCTATCTCACTGTTCGTATCCATCTCATCTGTTGATATGAATAGACAGATGAATACGAACAGATATCTATCTATCTATCTATCTGTCTCAGTCTGTTCATCTATCTATCTCAGTCTGTTCATATCTATCTATCTATCTATCTATCTATCTCACTTTATTCATATCTATCTGAAATATCTCTATACCACTTTATTCGTGTCTGTCTGTCTACCTATCGATCTATCTATCTCCATCTCAGTCTGTTCATATCTATTTGACATCATCTCTTTATCTCACTTTATTTACATGTATCTTGTATCTATCTATCTATCTATCTATCTATCTATCTATCTATCTATCTATCTATCTATCTCAGTCTGTTCAGATCTATCTATCTATCTATCTATCTATCTATCTATCTATCTTTGCCTCGCTCTTTCCCCCTCTCTGTTAGTATCCAGCTGCTTATTTGTCCACATACAGAACGATGCAATATTGTCCTACCTTAAAGACGCATTTGTAACCTAAGATCGAAGCCAGTCAAAACGGAAGAAAAGAAAGATGGCGAACGAGTAAGTCTCTCAGCGAATAGCACATAAGCCGTGAAGAGGAGAAAAGGAAGTCGGGGATAGAATTTGCGTCCCTGGCAACCGTCCAGTCCGACGTAGTCACTCGGCTGTCCAGGATTACTGCATTTGGCATTATTAACTGCAAGAGGACAACCAAATCGCCCACCCAACATCAAACTTGAGTTCCGGCGTCAGGGTTGAACGCTTACCACTCGAGCGTGGTAGCAATTAGTTGTATGGAGAAACGGGGGCGGGTAGGGGAGATAAAGTGTGTGTTTGTGTGTGTGTAGGGGGGAAGAGTGTTAAAGTTAATGCGTGAACGAAGGGAAAAGAGCGGGGAAGGGAGAGAAATAAAAACCAAATCTGAAAGACGGTAAGAAAGGAAGAAAATATCAGAGGAGAGGGTGGATGAGTGGATGCGTGCATACATTCGTGTGCGCGCGTGTGTGTGTGTGTGTGTGTGTGTATACGTGTGTGTGTGTGTTGAGAGAGAGAGAGAGAGAGAGAGAGAGAGAGAGAGAGAGAGAGAAATGGAAGAAAGTTGGACAGCTGAGAGGGTAATGTGAGAAGTGTTCATGTTTATGTGTATGTGTGTGTTTGAGAGCGACGGGGTGAGGAAAATGCGTGGATAAGCGGGAGAGAGAAAGAGAGAGAGAAAGAGGGAGAGAGAGAAAGAGAGAGAGAGAGAAAGAGAGAGAGAGAAAAAGAGAGAGAAAGAGAAAGAGAGAGAGAGAGAGAGAGAGAGAGAGAGAAAAGAGGGAGAAGAGAGTCTATAAGAAAAGAGAGAAGAGTCTATAAGAAAAATGAATGGTGGTGTAAGAAAATAAATGCAAAAAGAAAAAAACAATTAAAATAATGATAAATATTAATGGTAAGAAGAAAGCATGCATATAAAGAGACAGACAGACAGACAGATAGATAGATAGATAGATAGATATGAAGTGAATGAGATAGATAGATATAGAGGGAATGATATATATATATAAATAGAGATAGATAGATAGATAGATAGAAGCAGCAGGTTGTAATGGATAGAAATAGACTGTAATAAATTGTTTGACAGATAGAAACAGAGTGTAAGAGATAGATAGATAGATAGATAGATAGAAGGAAACAGAGTGATATATATATATATATATATATATATATATATATATATATATATATATATATCCAAATTTAAAAGAACGAAAAGTAAGATTTAAGCGTTCAAATCATTAATTTAAAACAGGGCTCAATACAAAAGCAGAGCAATAAATCTTTATTTATTATGCAGTGTTACATTAGAACATGCGCATACCCACTACAAAACTGTACATCTTGTTTCAATGTTAATTTTTCAGGGCAGTATCGTGATTTTCCACCTGATGCATGGTTAAAAAATAAAGAAATAAACGTTGAAACATGATGTACAGTTTTGTAATTTAATGTAACACTGCATAATATATATATATATATATTGTGTGTGTGTGAGTGTGTGTGTGTGTTTGTGAGCGTGTGTATAGACAGATAGATAAAAAAATAAGGGAGATAGATTGATAAATAGATGGATAGATAGAAAGAATATATATATATATATATTAGAGTAGATAGGTTAGTCAATAAAATAAAGTTAAACGAAATGGTACCGATGAAATCAGTACGGAAAACATTCATTAATATTAACCAGGTGACAAAAATGAAACACGGAGATTGAGGTTCCAAGTTTGGAAATATCGAACACGCCCGTGTTCATCAGCAGATGCAAAAAATAAACAGAGGGACGGTGGAGACTATCCAACATTAGTTTTTTGAGGTGGGTATAGTCTTCTTGTAGGTGGAATTGTTAGAAAAAATCCGTTCCC